AGAGAGAGAGAGAGAGAGAGAGAGAGAGAGAGAGAGAGAGAGAAGATAGGGAGAGAAAGAAAGAAAGGGTAAGGGGATGAAAGCGAGACAGAGAGACGGAAAGACAGAGTGAAAGAGAAACAGGGACAGAGACAAAAAAAAAAGATTGTATCCCATTTATCTTGTGCAAAAGAAATATAAAAGAATAATACGCACGCGAAGGTATACAAAAAGAACAGAAGAAGGTATCTATCTCCAAAAGAGAGCGCTAATGAGACAAGAATTTGGCCAGACCTAATTTAACCTTGGAATGAATATAAAATGTCTTTGTTACGCTAATCAGTCATTTCCTTCATCCAAGATCTATGTCACACATAATCGAACACAGACCCAGGGTCCGAAATCGATAATTGCCCATTTAGTCAACCTTAAACGTCCAAAATCTACCCCCGGAAAAATCTTGAGGAGCTTAATAGCAAGGGATGATGGAAATACCTCCATATATTATCACCTGTGCACTACGCAATCACAACCGAGAACTCTGTAATAATATTATTATTCATGAGCCTCTGTTTCGTTAGCCACGCCCTACCCATTGTTCGACCACGCAATCAAACTTGTTAGCTATGTGATAATATATTTTTAATGAGCAACCTCGTTTCGGTAAGCCACGCCCACCCACTCACTGTTCGTCTCTCTGGCTCTATGGAAAGGGGGCGTGGCTTGTTGTGTCGTCGGTGTGTGTAATTGTGGTACATAAAGATTGGCGGTTGTTTGTTGGAGCACCAGTCAGCGCTAGCACACAGAGCTGGTCGTGTAGTATCTACCACACAGACTTTACACACTACGTGCAGAGCCCTCACGATGAACGCCTGTGGAAAAACGTTGATAGCAGCTTGTCTGCTCCTGGCCGTGAGTACATACTACAAACTCATTGGATTTTTACCTATTAATTTCACCGAAAAATCTGTTTGAGATCGTTTTTGTAAGAGTTTATACACGAAGCCTCATAGAATTTACTGCCCACTGTGACTGCTGCTCTTAGGTAGGTCTTCCAGGAGCTAGGCTCTCTCATATCGAAGGATTTATGTGGCCGTGAGTACATACTACAAACTCATTGGATTTTTACCTATTAATTTCACCGAAAAATCTGTTTGAGATCGTTTTTGTAAGAGTTTATACACGAAGCCTCATAGAATTTACTGCCCACTGTGACTGCTGCTCTTAGGTAGGTCTTCCAGGAGCTAGGCTCTCTCATATCGAAGGATTTATGTGGAAGTCCTTTTGGGAAACTTTCAGTGTGTCCTTGTGGCGCTTTTTTTCTACAACCATACGCTTCCCTGGGGGCAGTCCAGAATAGAATACTGCCTTTGAGATAATTAGACTTTTATTATTTGCGCTTCTGAGAACTGTGTGTCTGCTCTGTTACCCTACCATTTAATGCCATGAATTTCCTGTTGGCCTTTCATAATGGATAAACGATAAAGCTTATTGGCCCCACTTTGGTACAACGTCCAGGTCTCGGTACCGTACAACAGGATAGGGAGAACCACAGCATTGTAGATTTTTCAATTTATATATATACATTGTATATAATCGTTCATTTTTTGAGGGCGCACTGATATTCCAGTTTTTGACAGTGCTTGACGTGGCATTGTGTTGGAACGCTTAAAAGGATAAGAATAGCTTTTTTATTCTTAATGAAAATCAAATATTACGCCAATTTGTTTTTCTGATTTGTATGTAGTAGTTCGACATGTGCCACAACCTTGCCTTTGCTATGCTCTTTGCAAGATATAATGCTACCCTAGATTAGACAGTTCTCTACCCTCAGTGCCTAGTTTTGAGAAATTTGATGTAAAATGTTTTTCGATGTAATTTTTTAAAGAAGATTTTGATCGATATAGCAGGTCATTTGGTTTCTGACCTCACGGTCTTGGTATCTCAAAACGGCCAAATAAATTGTCAGATAAAACTTTGTTATTCTAAGAGAGTGAAATGTGTCAAAGGGGGGGGGGGGGGGGCCCTTTTAACAAAAGTTAAAATCTGAAATCTCATAATATCTCAAGTAAAGCAAATTGTCTCGTTCCACACTTTTGAGGTGGCTGTTAATTTGGGAGACAAAAATCACTCAATTATTGTGTCGATGGGGTCTTGTTTCGAGTGTCGACCAAAACCAATGTCTATTGAGACAAGAAGGTTTACGAGCCACAAGGCCTGCTCTGAATCCAGAACGCTATGAACATTTTAGACATTAAGGCAATCTGCAATGCGCCTGCCAGCAGTTAAAATGAATTAAGCTCCCAAATTTTAAATTTAAAAGAAAAATTGCAGTTTGCTAATCTGTGGTGAAGCTCGCACGTGATCCAGAAATATTTTGTTGAAATTCAAATTTTGGACACTAAGATGAAAGTGATTGTCGTGGACAAGGAGGTGAGTTACACAGTGGCATTATGTCGTAAAAAAACCGAAATCAGCAACACCCGCACCTCCTCCCCTAATTGGTTTTTTGTAAAAGTTGTTGTAATAACAACAACAACAACAAAAATTAAAATGATAACAACAACAATAATAATAATAATAATAATGAT